GAACATCAGGAACAGATATCTATAAACATAAAATATGACATTTGAGGAACATCAAGAACAGATATCTATAAACATAAAATATGACATTTGAGGAACATCAGGAACAGATATCTGTAAACATAAAATATGACATTTGAGGAACATCAAGAACAGATCTTATTTTGAAAATTTTGGTTGATTTTTTTTTTGCTATTAATTATAAAACAATGCAATTGGTATAACACAGTTATGATATAAATACTTGACAAGCAAAGGTAATAGGCTTTATGGGACAGATTAAAAGCTAACAAATTAAAATACTTGTTCACATGTTATGTTAAAACATATTAATTTTTTTTAAAGAGTAAGCTTATGAAGAAAAACCTTGAACGGATGGATACCAAATGACGTGAGAAGACAACGTCTTTTTGCACTCATTTAGATATATGATTGCTATTAAATATCTTTCTACACAGAACACTGAAACAAGAAAACAAAGTAATTTAAATTTACCCAGAGATGAAAAAAAATGAACTCAATTTTTTGAAGAAATGAAGTACAAATAACCCGTTTTATTTCATTTCTCAATGGAAGTAAAAAACCTTTTTCACATTTTTCTAGGAGTTGAAACAAGAATAATAATATTAAAAAGTCAATTTCTTTACATTTTTCAAACAAATTCAGCCCGATTTCTCACTTCTTGAATTCACATAAATAGGCCTTATTTTTTCACCATTGGCTTAAACAAGTCGATTACTGTGAAAATCATGCATATTTAATGTAAAACATCTCCATAACCAATGGAAACGATACGTTAGTACTGAATAGTAGAATTTAAGTGGTTGAGGAAAATCAGTGATTCAGAAATGTTTAGTAAACGTATGGAAATGTAATACTTCGAGGCCAAAGTGGTGATTTTTTTCCCTCATTGATTTCAATTTGTACATATATATATAAAAATCAGTTTTAACTATTTACGGGTATCCGTTTTTGTGTGTTTTTCATAATTTGTTGAAGTGTAAACAGCAATGTACATTATAATTGGGGAAAACGAAACTCAAAAAAAAACGAAAACGTTTTGAAACTAATGAAGTTGGAAGAGCGATTGGATGATGTATTTTTTTAACTATTTTATATAAAAATTAACGTAGTGTACCATTTTAAATTACAATAAGTGTGCTATTTTGAATAAATATGAAATAAATGGAGTTGTGACGTGTGAATGTTTCTATTGTATGTTTACAGCGACGTAGCACGATTATGTAGAGAAGCAAGGACACTTACGTGGGCGATACTAATTTCCTGTAACCAAGAAACTGATTTCATATAATTATATTTTCGATGCATACATGTTTGAAGATCTGACAAAGTATCAGATAATTTAATGAAATAAAGTTTAGTTAACTGATAGGAAAACAAAGTAAATAGACAGGTTTTATTTTGGGGGTTGTTTTATGTGTGGGTAATATGTTTCAGATTGTACTCGGATTATAGGTTTTCGTTAGACACGTTTGAATTTTACTGGTGTTATATGGGATTTTAATAGTTCAAAAACCAGACGATTACCAGAACCAACAACATCAAGAAAAGTTAGTCTGTGCTATAAAAGATGAGATATGTTAATTAGAACGAGGACTAGTAATTAGTATGCTGGACCGAGGCTGTGACTGGTCGTATGTGCGTTATAAGAGTGACGGTGAATCCTCACTATTTAATTAGAATAGCCAAAGAATTGTGGGTGAGTGCCGTTAGCCAACTGCCTACCCTTTAGTCTATCAGTTCCAAATTAGAATCGGTGAGTGCAGATATCCCATTGTGTAGCCTTGCGCGAATATCCACAAACAGACATCTATATCTTGGCTAAAATGAACACTTTTTTTTTTACAATTATTGCTGTTCATTTAGAAAGAATGTATTTATTTTTTATGCAAGATATGCTATAAATTGCCACTTGCTAAGCTCTTGCCTACTGTCACGTGTGCTGACTTAACACGAGGAAGATGTTTGGTCTGTTATTTAGTATTGTAATTTCAAACTAAGAGATCAAACCAAACTTTCTTGACGACTTAACGGAATTCGTTCTTATCGTTGTCTAATTGAAATATTTTCTCTATTTTTAAATAGGTTAATCATGTTTTTCTTTTAATATATTACAAAAATATATTTATTAATTATTTGAAAATTCTATTAAGCAATCTGATGGATCGAGAAAAATCGTTGCCAATCATTCTGTTCTAAGAAGTCGGTATCAAAGGAAACTTTGTCAGTAACTTAATGGATTAATGTATTTTTTATTTTCTGTTCTAATGGCTAAAGAGGGAGGTCGGTATCAAAGGGAACTTTATCAGTAACTTAATGGATTATTGTATTTTTTATTTTCTGTTATAATTGCCAAAGAAAGAAGTCGGTATCAAAGGGAACTTTGTCAGTAACTTAATGGATTATTGTATTTTATATTTTCTGTTATAATTGCCAAAGAAAGAAGTCGGTATCAAAGGAAACTTTGTCAGTAACTTAATGGATTAATGTATTTTTTATTTTTGTTCTAATGGTTAAAGAAAGAAGTCGGTATCAAAGTGAAATTTATTAGTAACTGAATGGATTTTTTTATTTGCAGTTCTAAATGATAAAGGTGTCTCTTTTCTAAAAATATCTTTGTTACAAAACCACCACCCCATCAGTGGCGCAGCGTTAAGTCTGCAGGCTTGCCATGTTAAAAATCGGGTTTTGATATCCGTGGTTGACAGAGCACAGATATACCATTGCGTTTAACAGCAACCAAACGAAAACCGAATGGATTTTTGTAACGTGTTATCCTTGCCAAAGGATGGGCGTGTTCTGGGTGGCAAAGGATATTCATCATTGAAGACTCACTAATACTCCAGTGGTAAGAGTATGGAATCTAAAAAATAGGGACACAACGCACCATCATCAATCTTTGTTCGATCTAATAGACGGTTGTTATTCAAGAACTAGCTAGACAACACTGTGTTAAATTAGTAGGAATTTCGTTATAATAATCCATGGATGAAGCAGTCTCTTTGTTTGTTGAATTTTGCGCAAAGCAACACGAGGGTTATCTGCGATATTAGTACCTAAACTAGAAGGAAGATGGCAAGTCAACATCATTCACCACCAATTCTTGAGCTGGTCTAATCGAATAGTGAGATTGACAATAAGATTATAACGTCCCCACGGCTGAAAGGGCGAGCATGTTCGGTGACGGGATTCAAACCCGCAAATTGCGAACCGAGCATCCTAACCACCGGGTCATGGATGAAGTAGGGAAGAAACGAACAAAAAAATATGTCATCATAATCTTCATCTTGTTTCATCAGTGTTCACATCACAAGTTCTTCGTGGGCCTAGGAATGGAGAAACAGGATACTGAATTAATACCCGGATTTTTACGTGGAATTAAACGTTTCACCCCATATAAGCTCTGTAGGTTTTTCAGTGATCAAATAAAGGGTTTCTAATAATTGACGATTTTAAATTCAGCTCCATCGTTTTGATAACGTTAAAAGGCCAGTTTAATTAGAACCAATTTTTTTAACTGGTGAATCTTATAACTTTGGAGCCACATTAATCTTATAAATGTATGCTACACTTATGTCCCCCGGCGGTACAGCGGTAAGTTTATAGACTTAAAACTATAAAATTGGTAGTTCGATTCCTGGGGTGGACACAGCAGATAACCCAATGCGAGTTTGTTACAAAACAAACAAACAAACAAAATTTACTATTATATATATATATATATATGTCCTGGTTAATTTTTTTTGTAATTCATTTATATAATTCATTGTAGGTAAAGGCATTTTTACGTTAACCAAATGATAGTTATTCGAATACAAAATGCTAAAATAACCCGTATCTCTGTAATACATTGTCCAGTAAATTCCATTATGTAATTACATAACGTGAAAGTTTTCAAAAGGGTACCGCATTAGGTAATTGAAGTCGATAAATTGTGTGATGTCATGACCGCTTCCTGGAAGAACTAGACATGTTAAAACGTCACATATGGAAATATATATATAAGGTGTTTAAACGTGGGAACTGTGAGCACGATGGTGGTCATTGTAACTTTCATAGAGACGAAACTTCATTCTTCACTTAAGCTGCCTTAGCTGTATACAACTAATTATGAAATATAGATGTCGTTCTAAGATCTTTAGGCTGGCGTTTCTTAACGTGGCCGTTGTCTGCTATTTTCTGGATAGTTTTAATGTAGTATCAGAAGCTACACGCGTCGTTTCAAAGTTTGCCCGTTGCGCTTACCGTAAAAACAGAATACTGAACAAGCATCCCGTGAGAATAGTAAACGGTATTGACAGAATTGAATGTTTAGACCGCTGCATGAAAACACAGGGGTGTCAGGCTTTTAACTTTCGTCCTGGTCTCTGCAGTCTTCTTAATATTAGCTTGTGTGAAAGAAAAGGTCTGACCTTGGAGGATGCACCTGGTTCTTGTTATTTTGACTTGGAAAGTGTGAACTCAAGAGAGGTACGTGAAATTACTCTAACCGATATAACTATGATTTCTAGTCTAGGTGTTTCTGTTTTCATTTGGAAGTTTAGTAGCTTATTTAATAGCAAAGACACTTTAGTAAAACCTGACTAATTGAAACAATGAAACTTTCGCAACTCCTGACTAACTGACACAATGAAACGTTTATAAAACCTGGGTGCCTGTAACAATGAAACGTTAGTAAAATCTGACAGACTGACACAATGAAACGTTAGTAAAATCTGACAGATTGACACAATAAAACGTTCGTAAAACCTGGGTGCCTGTAACAATGAAACGTTAGTAAAACCTGACAGACTGACACAATGAAACCTTAGTAAAACCTACACACTGACACAATGAAACGTTAGTAAAATCTGACAGATTGACACAACGAAACGTTAGTAAAACCTGGGTGTCTGTAGCAACAAAATGTTAGTAAAACCTGACAGACTGACAAAATGAAACCTTAGTAAAACCTGGGTGCCTGTAACAATGAAACGTTAGTAAAACCTATCTACTTTCGCAACTTCTGACAGCCTAAAACAGTGACATTTTATTACAATGTGACTGCCTTAAACAACGAAACGTCAGTAAAACCTTACTGCATACAACAGTGAAGTGTTAATAAAACCTGGCCGCCTGTTAAAATGAAAATTAGCTATAGAGATATTTCTTGTTGTGATTGTCACAAAGATCACGTTAACGATATTTTAATATTCTATTTTCATAATAAGCCATGAAAAGAACCATAGTATTCTGTTATTAATATATTTCTACTTTATTTGCATTGGTCAAGTCGGGATTTTGAAAGCGGTAATTTTTTTTTTTGTGGTCCGTTTTGTAGTAGCAGCGTGGTCAGCCAGAAGCCATAAAAATCCCCAAGAGGCGGAGCACCGTTCCGGACATTTCCACTCCTGTTATATTCTACCAATTGGAATGAAAATTTCAAAAATGAGCGATTCTAAAAATTCCCCGTTTTCCTTCGAAAAGCACGTTAAGAGAACTTGTTGAAAAACTCACCTTGTAGTAGAATAACTTCCCACGATAAAATTCCCCGTCTTCCTTCGAAAAGCACGTTAAGAGAACTTGTTGAAAAACTCACCTTGTAGTAGAATAACTTCCCACGATAAAATTCCCCGTCTTCCTTCGAAAAGCACGTTAAGAGAACTTGTTGAAAAACTCACCTTGTAGTAGAATAACTTCCCACGATAAAATTCCCCGCCTTCCTTCGAAAAGCACGTTAAGAGAACTTGTTGAAAAACTCACCTTGTAGTAAAATGACTTCCCACGATAAAATTCCCCGTCTTCCTTCGAAAAGCACGTTAAGAGATCTTGTTGAAAAACTCACCTTGTAGTAAAATAACTTCCCACGATAAAATTCCCCGTCTTCCTTCGAAAAGCACGTTAAGAGAACTTGTTGAAAAACTCACCTTGTAGTAGAATAACTTCCCACGATAAAATTACTTATATTGATTTATTCTGAACATTCGAAATCACAAATTACTTTGTAATGTTAAAGTAATATTCATTTGTGGGCTATTTACGCTGTGCCAATGCGGGCATCGAACCTTCCAATTTAGCGTAATAAGCCCTCAGATTTACTGCTAAGTCACCGGAGAGGAAGGTCAAATTAATAATCCATATAGAAGTCTACTCCTACCCCGGTAAGTCTCATGGTTTACAATGCTAAAATTCGGTTTCGATACCCGTTGTGGGCAGAACACGCATAGCCCATTGAATAGATTTGTGCTTAATAACAACAACATATATATATATATATAAACTCTGCCTTTTTAGGCTTGATATCTACATCTTTATTTTGAAATATTTTATAATATATTGTTAGGTAAACCACAAACCAATGTTTCAGTTAACGTTTGCTTTAAGGCTTATGTCCCCCAGCGGCAAGCCTACAGACTTACACCGTTAAAAACCGGGTTTCGCTACCCGTGGTTGGCACAGCCACGGGTAGCTAGTGTTGAATTCAGGGGATGCACAAGGAGGAATTGCAAAACACTCCCCTCTGAAGTACAGTATTTTCCATTCTTTTGGGGGTGTGGGGTAGAGATCGTTAAAGCCAATATTTGAACTTACGATTTAAAATTCCAATGCATTCATATAGTTTATAACTGGAAAATAATAATGTAAATACTGTCCGAGTTTTTGTTTTATTTTTTTTGTAGTTAAGCGCCATGCTACACAATTGACTGTCCCGATTTTTAGTGTCATTAAGCAACAGAGGGGGGAGGGGAGTTTTTCATGATTTATATTTGAACAAGTCATGCAAGTGACAAATGGAAACATTAAATTTTTCATCTTGTCTTATTATAATGTAGGCGGAAGGTCCTCTCTGGACGACGCCATTCTGTACTGAGAAAGGACTTTGTTCGCGCCGTTGTGAAGCTGGTAAGTTTTCTTTTTTTGTGTCGCTAAAATCTTTCATTTGTATTAAAGTTCAAGTTGTATGAAATGATCGTGAGAAATATATGTAGCACAACGGTCGTGAAATTACTAAGTTTATAAATTATTAGTATATGTAGCACAACGGTCGTGAAATTACTAAGTTTATAAATTATTAGTATATGTAGCACAACGGTTGTGAAATTACTAAGTTTATAAATTATTAGTATATGTAGCACAACGGTCGTGAAATTACTAAGTTTATAAACTATTAGTATATGTAGCACAACGGTCGTGAAATTACTAAGTTTATAAACTATTAGTATATGTAGCACAACGGTTGTGAAATTACTAAGTTTATAAACTATTAGTATATGTAGCACAACGGTCGTGAAATTACTAAGTTTATAACTTATTAGTATATGTAGCACAACGGTCATGAAATTACTAAGTTTATAAATTATTAGTATATGTAGCACAACGGTCGTGAAATTACTAAGTTTATAAATTATTATCAATTTCTGATCAAAGCACAATACATACTTAGATCAAAACAAAAATCAACCTGGTAATGATTGTAGCTAATTATAATCACCTGTTTATAAAGGTAAAAAAAACGTTATTTTTATCGGTTGGATAACCTGTCTTTCTAAGTTTTAAACTGATGTTAACCTCCATGTTATAATTAGGATAATTATCACAAATTGGGTTAAGTATGACATGAAATTAAAATTTCTTTTACTGAAAAGTAAAAAACTGTATATTTATATATATAATAATAATAATGAAATTGGAAGGTGAATTTCGTTTCAACAGGATATCTGTGCTCTTCTCACTGCGGGTACCGAAACCTGAATTTTAGAGTTAAAAGCCATCAGATTTATCTCTGAGCCACGAGGGGGCAGCAGTTTAGTTCAAGCTCTAAATTATGTTTGCTTGTTGTTAAATACAAAGCTACTCAATGGGTTATCTGTGCTCTGACCACCGTAGGTATCGAAACCCGAATTTAACGTTATCAGACCTCAGACTCACGCTAAAGCACCAGGAGGCAACATTTTTGGTTCAAGCTCAAAATGATGATTAAAAATTTCCTTTTCCAGTTAACACTATGTCAGACTTATAATTCTCCAAGAAAATATTCTAAAATTTAGACATATAGCAGGGATTTTTAATAAATGGATTATAAAAATGTAAACTTCTGTAATTCATTAACCCTATTTTTGACAGTTATCTGATGGTCACTATAGCAACTCCCCAACTTGTAATTTAAACAGAAAAAGCGTACAGGTAATGTATCACTACTCCGTACTAGTATATCTTTATACGTAGATCCATCACCATAAAAGTTTCAATGCGAATTTTTTTTTGTTTTTTAGTTGTGCCTATGAAGTATCTGAACGAACCCTGCATTGAAGACTCGGAGTGTAAACCAAGGACAGGTCGGTTCGCTGTCTGTCGGCAAGACCACTGTAAATGTGAGGATGGATACTGGATTGAAAATATTACAACATGTACAAAACGTATGTTTGTATTTTATCATATTTAAAAATATAAAACAGTTATACACTTCTTGTTCAATCGTTTACTTTAATAAACAGCTTGTTATTGTTTAAGTTAACTTAATGTTATTTTAGTTTTAGTACGAACACTAAGACGTACTGACAAATCCGGCCCGGCTTGATCTGGTGGTTAGGACTATCGACTCAAAGTCTACAGGTTGCGGGATCGAAACCGATCACCGAATATGTTCACCTTTTCAGTAAATTTCAGTATTCGTTGTTTAAAGAATTGGCGGTGGGTGCTGCCGGCCAGTTCCCTTCCCTCTGGTCGGCAGTTGAAAACGAACGGTGGTGGTGGATAGGCTTAGTAGATTCTTTATTAACAAATCAAAGAAACAGTCCACAAAAACCTTATGTTTAAATTAATTATAGTAATAATTATCTTATGAAACAAATGTAGCTAAAACGAAGAGATTAGCAGTATTGTTTTAGTTTGTTTGTAATTAAGCACGA